ATTTATTTATTTATTTATTTATTTATTTATTATTTTTAGAGGAGGTACTGGGGATTGAACCTGAGATCTCATGCATGCTAAGCACACTCTCTACCACTTGAGCTATACGTCCCCCACTGTATTTTTACATTCTTAAACTATTCAGTAGAAACTTAGAAAAAAATTTTTTTATTGTTTTTTTTTTCTCTTTCCGCCCTCAGAATGAAACCCTTCTCTTTGATTCTGATATGTTTTGTACTGTAGTTACATTACATCTAGGACGCTGACGTTGGAAACATTTCAGATGGAAAAGCTCTGCTGTGTAGCCTGGATGTGCTAGAATTGCAAGAGCCATGATTGATGTCTGGTGAATTTCCCTCGAAGAGGTCTCTTGGTGTATTTGCATGTACATGCTTTAGTCCTGGTGGACATCCTTTATGGCCTTTTTAGAAAAATGCAGAAGTAATCTTTGTAAGTTAGCAGTCATACTCTTTTAGGATGGGGTGAGAAATCATGCAACCCCCGCCCCTTCCCCAAAGTGTCTTGTTTGAAAACGGAGAATCTTTGTCCAGTCTTGAAACTTGGTCCCTCTAAACGCAGTCACGGAATGAAATCTTTGATGTTTCCTTCTAAATAGTGTTCATATGGCAGAGTTGATGAAGTTAGAATATTAGAACAAATAGACATAAACAGAACCTTTTGGATATAAGGGAAGTTGCTATTGCCGGAGGCAGAATGATTATCGGAAAGGCTGGCTGAAATGAGAAAAAGAACTAACCAATAGTGAAGCTCTGGGCACCTTCCCTTAATTATGGACCTGTTTTCACGAAATAAAAGATAATATTATTTACGTGAGACAGTACAGGGTATGCTGTACAACAGCAAAATGATACAAAACCCCTTTCAGATTCGTCTTTCTATTCTGAAAACCTCCCAAGTTAATATATTATAATCAGTTACATGTCAGTGCACTAATTGGAATGAACTTTCTTGCCTTTCATGAAAGATCATTTAAAATGCCTCAGAGCAATTGTTATTCGGGACCCCTCCTCCTTCCTTACCCCTTGCCTCATTTTCCTGGAAACTTCATGACCAAAGGACAGTCTGGACATAGTAGCCGTACCTCCGTGGAGAAGGCAGTTAAGTGTTGTTAGTGCTTTGTTGCTTCACCATCCTCCTTTTATGGTGAAAAGCTTTTGCTTTTGTTTTTAATCTGAGTATACTCTCAGCATTTTCTTAGAGCATGCAGGACAATACATTGTCATTTCTAAGCAGGAGTGGCCAGATGGACAAAGATTTTGATGAACACTTTAATCCTGGGGCATATCTTTCATGTGGTCACATTTCATAAGTCAGAGTTTATGGGAGAAATTCAGAGCATCTGAAGTGATCTTAAAAGTGCTTGATTCCGACCCCCACCCCCACCCCAAAAAACGCTTGGTGCGGTTTGATTATAAGTTGACCGTTATCTGGTGATGGGGTGGTAATCACTGAAACTGCATTTTGGGCTGTCTGTGTAGAGAATAAAAGGCCTGTGTATCAGATAAAATAAAGGAAGCCACGGAAATGTGCTTGGCCTCCACTTGTATTTCCCCGTTCGAGCCTGATCTAGGCAAAGCTGGTAGCCACCAAGGAGGGGCTCAGAAAAGTGAGAATGTTCTTCTGAGAAGAGCCTGCCCCCAACAGGCAGTGAGAACTGCTTGTGGAATTTGGCAGCTGTCGCTGAATTTGAACCAGAATGAGGAGGCCTGAGTACACATTAGGCCCTCAGTAAATATTCTCAAGTGATTAAGAGATCAGATGCCTCTGTTTGCCTGTCTGAGAAATGGGAGTGGCCATCTTGTTTGTAAAAGACCCAAACCCAGAACTATGGCAGTGTTCTGTGTACTTCAAAGATCAAATGCACATCTGTAAAAAAAGATACCTGTTACTGACATGGCTTTGTTTTTTGTTTGTTTGTTTGTTTGTTTTGTTTTGTTTTTGTATTTTTTGTTTGCTTACATGGAGTCATGACCAGAAAAATCACTCCAAAAATAATGTGTTTTAAAACCCCTGTTTACGTCTCCGTACTTTTTCCTGCAATTCCTTTTTCTCTCAAATTTCCAAGACCAAGGAACTGTTAATGTCCCTTTAAAAAAAAGTAAGTCTGGCAGTAATAGAGGTGAATTTCATTTTCAGAAAAGTCTATGGTGATTGAAATGTAGAACAGATAAATGGTTTGCTCCTGTTTTGAAGAGGGCTGAGGTTCATTGGTGCCGGCTGTGCAAGATCTCTCCAGGTAGCTAGAGGGCTCCACATGCTGTTGTCCCCTCCCACAGGGACACCTATCATCGCCGGGGTCCTTTCACCTGGTATCATTTGTAGCAAGATGTTCTGACAGAAAAAAAAAATACAATCTATGTGATTGCCAGGCCTATGCTGGCTTTAAGTTGTCTGACTACAGTACTTGATATGACTATTTAAAAAAAAATTGTAAAAAGTGCTTTTTGGGCTAGGTGGGGGAATGACAGCTAGCCAGGTTCAGATGTGCCTGGTTTCTCTTTTCCAAGCCCCCCTAACTGAATTGGGTGGTGTTACTGCTGTCCTTGGGCTGGAGGGGTGGGAGGCAACTCTCACGTGAAAGGAGAATCACTGTCTGGTGTATCTGCATATAGAAAGGAGAAACCTTTTAGGAGCCTAGAACTTTTTAATACTTTTAATTTCCTTCCTAAACCAGGTAGGTATGGAAAGTTGTTTAAAATATACCAAAGTGTATCCGAATATAGTCTCTACAGCCAGTCTGCCTCAGCCGTTACTAGCTGTGCTGCTTTGGACAAGTTACTTAACCTCTCTGTGCCTCCCCCCCTACTCCCCTCTCTGCATAATGGCATAGTGATGGGACCCTGAGTCCTAAGTTCTTCATGAGGCTTAAATGAGAATACACACTAAAGGACTTAGCACTGTGCATGGTAAATTGTCAGTCCTCAGTAATCAGTTCTTAATCATTTTTATTTTTTGTGTATTAAAGAGATTTGGGTAGGAGTATATAGAAACAGGAAAACTGAACTGAAAAAGACAACTGTATGTAAAAACAAAAACATTTTCAAAAGTTTACATAAACCTTGCATGGTTTTTGTGCCTGGATTTGCTGTTGAGGGCGAGGCTGGCATGAGGATGGCCCATGGGTAATTAGTAAAATGGTTACATTTTGTGGTTTAAAGAAACGAGAAAGCCTCGGTGAAGTCTGAGATCCCTCCTTGCTCACAAAGCAGAGAAGGGCTCCACTTTCTCTGCTTAAAATGGGAAAGTTGTTTTCCACGGGCTTAAAATGTAGCATGTGAATCTCCAAGATCCCTGTGTGGTGTTACCCTTTGTAGAAAGAGTTGCTTGGCCCTGCATCCGGGAACGCCCATCCCCTTCTAAGGACTGCTGCACTGTGTGGTAACCAAGGAGAATGGGTCTGCCTGTGACTGTCATTGCTGGGTTTTAACTGTGTGCCGCAAATGGGAAGCTAACAGCAGTCTTTGGGTGTTGCTTTAATTTTGTACTGGTGTGACACTTAAACACACTTATGCCCCTGTCTCTGTAGCTTCCTGGATTCAGACCTGAAGAGTGTACAAGAGAGAATCTCACACTGTGCGTGCAAAGCTCCTGCCCGCTAATCAATTTTTTGCAAACTGAAATCAGCATGATGGTTTTCTGACCAAACAACAAAATACAATTTTAAACTACTCGACTTAGCTATTTTGGGGCTGTAGCAAAGTGACACAGTTGGCTGCTGAAATCTAGCAACTAAAAAAGAAGCAATGAAAGCATAGTTCATGGAATATGTAACACTTCCATGTAAGAAATAGGACAACTAATTTTATTTTTGGGTTTGTGATACTATTTTCCTAACAAGGAGAGGGAAGCAAGTTGTCGATTGATACTGCAGTGTGTATACTTTTGAGGAATGCATACCAGTTATTAGACGAATCCAGGAGGTATTTAAATTCTGATACCGTTGCAGCCACATAAATTCCACAGTGCACTTATATCAGATGAACTCAACAGTTTGGAATAATTTGGATAGGAGACACAGCCATTAGCACTTCACCAAATACAAAAGCAGAGTCCAGATTAGTGAGGAAATGTCAGTGACTTTTCAAGAGTCCAGTTAGTCACAAATTGTGAAGAGGATTTATTTACAAAGCAATGGTTATTTATAAAAAATGAGTTCTATTCATTAACAAAAGGTCAGTTTTCCTGAAGTGTTTCGATTCAGTGAATGTGAAGGCTGAGAGCCGGCCGTGTCCTTGGGAGTGTTACTGGGTAGCTGTGGTCTTGGCTATGTCACTGGGCCAGTTACTCAACCTCCTGTGGGAGTGGGGTTGGGTGGTGGTGGTGGTCTGACAGTCCCAGATATACATACCTCTTACTCAGGACCGCATCAAGACCTCAGAGGTCCAGGATGAAATCCTCGCTCTTTTGCAGCAGTCTTATGTTGAGTAAATGGGCCTCAGTTTTTTAATCTCTAAAATGGGAGCGATGGTTGTAACAGGCTACATTCGCCAAGCACTTGCCATGATCTAGCTGTTGTGCCAGAGCTTTTTAATATGCCTTTAATCTGCCCTGGAAGAAGAAATCTTGAATATTCCCATTTTAGGATGAGGAAACTAAAGCTGAAAGGAAGTTGTCACTTGTTCAAGGTCACCTCTGTAGTAAGTAGGAGTGGCTGTAAGTGTCTCTCTAATCATCTCACAGGATTATTTTGAATCAGAATGGTTGCTGTTCATTGAGAAGATGTTTTTCCTAATTGCACAGGAAGGCCAATTAAAAGACAGACCCAGCATTTTGTATTTCATGCTACTACTTTTCCTATAAGCAAGTACCGTAAACACTGGGTGAAATAAAGGTGTCTTCCTGTATTTGCTACAATTAAATAAGGAAGTAATGCAATTAGTATAGGGTTTTATTTGGTTACATTGAAGAGATGACCTTTCTGCAAATTACTTTAGCTTCTGGATAAGCTGATAACAACTGTGGATAGAGTGAGTTTGTTGGTGGTGAGTTTTTCTGACTCCTCTTCAAAAGGATCTAAATTGATTTAGTTTATAATTTGAGAACTTTTGTTTGGGGTGTTGAACATGGTTATGTTATAATAACGGGGAATTATTATTATCCCATATATCATTTAAGTGTGGGCTGCAGGCTCTGAATTATGACTTCAGGAAAATGTCTGAGGGAGTTGTATTTGGCAAGAGATGGTTGGGTTCTGGAGTTTTCCTCTGGAGTTTAAAACTAGCCATGGGAGCCAGCCAAACCAGCTGTGGGATTTGGGCAAGACCCTCGGTTTCTTTGGGATTGTTTTCCTCACCCTTAACTAAATGGCTTCTAAGATTCCTTGGGAGTTCTAGAGATTGTTGATTCCAGGCAGGGTGGTTTGGGAGGTTGTGGCCTTTCTGTAGTATACAGATCAGATGCCCAGTCCACGTTATGTGATTTGCGAGGGGTCCTTCTTGTTAGCTTTGCTTCCTAAGGCACTAATAATCCTTTGATTATCTGGCAAACCTTGCTGCAGAGTATCCCCAGGGAGTTAGCAAACAAGGTAGTGAGTGGATCTTGGTTAATGGAATGCCTATAAGCAATTTTTGTTTCTAAGCATGAAACCTTACTTCTCCTGGAGTCTAGGTTAAAAAGAGAAAAGAAAAGAAATAGAGATTTGCTTATGCCAATGAAGTTATGTGTGGTTTTTAAAACTACTGAATGTGATTTAGGATTGGGGTGGTGGTGGCAGGATTCTTTGTCTGGAAAGAAACCTCCAGGGTAGTTCTGGAACGGAGAACTGAAGAAGGGACAGTCATCTGGGCTATCTGGAGCTCTGCAGGGGGCATCTGGCCAGCAGGTGTGCTCTGTTTGGCCATTCAGTATTAAAAAAAAAAAATTAAACACTGAGGCATTTCTCATTCATGCCATCATCAAGTATACCTTTCATACCTGCAGCGTTCTAGGCACTGGGGAGACAGTGGGGACCAAAGCAGATGGAGACTCCTGCCCTCATGGGGGCTTCTCCTAAAAGTCTAGGTTACTCCGGGAAAATCGGAAGGTGTACCAACCCAGGTCGTGTGTCTTGCTTGGCGTCGGCAACAGTAAGCTGGAATTAAATAGTGGCGGCCCCCAGAGATGGAGCGCTTACCTGGCCCGCAGTGGTTATTTACAATACTCAGCTGGTCTCTGGAGGTGTTTACCACCGCATAGATGATTTCTCGATTTCTACCCTTAGGGACCGTTTTTTTTCCCTCCTTTGCTGCAACTTGTTTGCGGTTTTGTATTGCCTGGATTGGGTATGTGCAAATGTGTATGTGCGAGCACGTGCATCCTTGGCTGGTGAGCTGGCGTCCGTCTTCTCAGTCTGCAGCTCCACAGCGGTCCTGCCTGTGTCTTTTTTTTTTTTTGCCTCTGCACTTGGCCTACCACTCAGATATTCCATAGTAAGGTGGCAAGTTCTATTATGATCTAAATTGTTGGCTTGTTCAATTTTAAAAAGTTGTGTTTTTAAACATTTCTTATTTAAGAACTCGTGCTCCTGGTGACTGTTACTAAACGACCCAAGAAGGGGTTGATGGGTGGGTAAGAGAGGGCTTAGGCCAGTGACCAGTATAGTAAAATCTGAGTAGATTGTTGTCGGAGATGTCACATCCGGGGGTCTCTTGCCAAAGAGCTTATTTTTCTCACATGATATCCCTGACCCAGTAATTTTTTCCATTTGACACCCACATATGGATTTCTCATATATGGTGGGAATATCACATATCTTAATTTTTCCAACATCAGCATGTGAAAACGTGAACTTTGAGTGGAGTAGAATGTCCAGCTTTTGGTATGGGCAGATGGAGGATTTGAGAAGGTGATTCATTCACCCTAATTCCAGTGCATGGTGTTAAGTAGTTATAATGTGTGGTACATCCACATGAATTGTTCACGTGTGATTCAGAGCCTAATTAGACTCTGCCCTTTGAGGACAAGACGTCCTTCTTTCTTCCACCTGTGAATTCTCAGTCTCTAGATGGTGGTAGTCATCTGTGAGCAGCTAATGCTGTCTAAAAGTACAGTGTCTTGATATCATTGTATGTGTTTTACAGAAATATCATGTTGCATGCTCTTGAGTCATGATGTCCAAGGTCATTATCTTTCTTAAGAGAATTCAGAGTATGTGTGTATATATTATTATATATATGGTCGTGGTGTTTGAAGTCCATTTTTAAAAAGGGAGAAACTAAGTTTGTACTTTCTGTTACTTGCCACTAGGGTATCTATTGCTGAAAATGATATATTCTAATTAGGGGTCAACTGTCTTATGGGGCAGTGGGGTTAGGCATTCATGGTCAGAAACTTTTTTTTTCTTTTGTGAAATTACTTAGACTAAATTCTGTGACTCGGATGTTTATTTGCATCAGAAGGGCCCTTGGCTCTAGGGTTGATCCGGGAGAAGTAGGCATTCTCATTTCTGCTTTGGTTGTTCTGGTAATAGTGACACGAGGTATATAGAGGGCAGCAGAGCTTGCTTGAGCTGGTTGTAGAGCATGAAGATGAATGTTGATGTTTTGCCTGGCTTTAAGCAGCCTGGTCTTGGAGAAGGGCTTGCACGAACTGACCACCTTGGCTTTGCCTGACGGGTGTCCATGGACTGTCTTATCTGATGTCTTCCACTAGACGGGTGTTGGCTGTACATCATTCCAGATGTGCTTAGGCAGGAGCTAAGTCTCTAGAACACATTCCTAGTCAATGCCTGTCCTCTTTTATTCCTCTCCCAACCCGTTGTTTTCTCTTCTAAAACTAGTCATTTTCTCTGCTTACATGTGTGCAGAGGGCGTGAGTGGAGGGTGTGAAAATCACTTGACAGTTTCAGGCATCAGCCCCTCATTTTCTCAATTGGTCAATTTGCACAGAAGCTGCTGAAATTATTTTATGTGATAGAGGGTGGGTGACTTTGGCATTAGAAGTCTTTCCAGACATTTTTTTAGGATGTGGTTTTTTAAAAGAAAACCTTCTCAGTTAACTGCAGTGTATTAACTGATATGAGGGAGCTGCTGGTTCCTGAGGTTTTTGCCTTCATTCGAGATGCTGGGCAGAGGGGAAATTGATTTCTGGAAAATCTTGGGAAACTGTAAGCACTCTGACCAGATAAACAAAGCAGTTTGTAGAAATAACTCTTAGATGCTGAGGGACCTTTAACAGGGTTTTGAGAAAATGAGATTTGAGATGGGTGGATTCAGATGAAAGAGGCCAGTGGCGAATACATGGTTTTGGAATTGCCCAGATCTGTCAGTCAAGTTTACTGGCTCAAGATAGTGAATCTTAGTTCTGTTCTGTACTAACTGGGGCCTATACTTACTTGATTGGTTTTCTTGTCTGTAGAATGTGGATAATGAGAGTTTCAATCTCCTTGAGTCCTTGTGAAGATGGAAAGAGATCATGTGTGCAGAGCACTAGGAAATCTTTAGGCAAACAGGACGGTATAAATGGTACCTGTTTTTAATAGTTGTTGTTTAAGATTTATGAAAGAAGTGTGTGCATAAATATGCCCTCAGTTAATGCCAGATGACCCAAAGAAAAGGTGGGAGAGCAGGGATCTGACAGTTAATGAAGTGGCAGGAACAGAATTTGAACTTCACTTTCTGGATGGTATCCTGTTCTAGCAGAGTAGGTGGTGGATGAATTAAGGTACACTTGGCTCCCCAGGAACATTTGCTATTGACAGAGGTGTGTCAAAGAGTCTATTAGGTTTTAATTTGCCCTAAATGTCCCCTGCATGAAGAAACAGGTTTCGTTGCCTTTGGTATTCTCATTGCTGAAATTATCTGTGTGGGTAGCATGTACGTGCTTTGCTAAATCTCTCTGTTGACATGGGGCCCATCCTATCCTCTGGTGCATGCAGATAGAAACATTCAGTGACAGTCTGTAGCATATGTGTTTGTTTTCTTCTTAACCCTGGGTTATCTTGCAGTTTTTCTACACAGAGATTGGAGATTGACATATGAGGCCCTTCAGCTTTACCTGTAGCCATGGCAGACATTGCTAGTTGATCACAGAGCTCTCTTCTGCTAAGGCCATAACTGGGTCTTAGAATCCTTTGGAAGAGGGAGAGAGGACTTTTGTGCCATCTCTGTGCTGTACTGAGACACATTAGCCAAATAGCATAAGGACAAGCATAGCTAAGGGGCTTTTATATTGTTACAAACAGGTTTGCCGCTATACAGGCAGTTTTTAAGCCACACAGCTATTTTGAAATTGACCTGAAAGAGCAGGTATCAATAGCAAGTACCTTGTACCTTGTGCAAAGGTTTCCCGATCCATGAAATTGATTTGGGCTCATACTTGACTCACATTCATTTATTCAGGGGGAAGAAAATCCAATCTCTTGATGGTGGTTACATCATATTCTAATGGGTGAGCATTACTAATGGAGGTTTAGGGATCTAAAATTAGTTGCTTATTTTTCTTTTCTTTAAAGCCCAGAGGTTTTGCATCAGATTATGGCTCTTGTAGGACTGTTTATATTCCAAAGTGACACCTTTCTGAATTTTTAGCTATTTAAGTAAGTGTTAAGGATGGGCTTGGTGGCAGCAGTTTTTAAAATTCTGACTGACTAAATGGATCCTTTCCCCCCTGTTGTTTGTACCTGGTAAAGCATCTTGTGTTTACTCCAAATACATTCATTGTTACCTTTAGGGTAGCTTGTTTCTCAAGATTTGAGTGATCCTCTGATGAGTATTATTTTTTTGTTAGGAAATTGGAGAGTAGAGATAAAAGACAAAAGGAATTCTTTCATGAAGCTGACAACAGATAAATTGTGGTGTTGATAATATACTAAATACTTGGATGGCATAAAGTGATCCCATACTTGTTTCCTGGGTGTGCCCCCGCCTCCCCTCAAGGGTCCCTTCTAATGTTGAGTCTTAGCTAATTTACTGTGAAATGTCTATGGAGCCGTGCTGACCCGTGTGGGACATGGCATTGAGTACTCGAAATGTGACTTGTCCAAATTGAGATGTGTGGTAAGTGTAAAACACACACTGGATTTCAAAGACACGTGAAAAAAAGTGTGTAAAATATCTCGTTAAAGTTTTACATTGGTTGTCTGTTGAAATGATACAATTACAGATATATAGGGTTAAAGGAACTATATCATTACAATTAACATTGCATGTTTCTTTTTACTGTTTTATATGACTACCGTAACATTTGAAATTATGTGAATGGCTCCTGTTCGTGGCTTGCGTGGTATTTTTTATCGGGTAATGCTGGTCTAGAGCGCTTGTTCAGGCCTTCCATCACTTTTCACAAGAGCATTTCAACAATGTGGTCCCCTCTGTGACAGTGATCACATCACATCTTATTCCATCCTTGTCCGTTGAAAACAGGGGACCAGGAGAGACCCTTGCTATTGATGGAGAGGCTTGCCTTCTGGTAGGCACTATCACTAGGAAGTGCTGGAGTCCGAGCGGTGTCAGGATAGAGGGTTGGGGCTTTGTTTGCCCATCTGTGAAGTCGGGTAACAGTCCCTGCTCCATGACGTTGTTGAAGGAGTGAATGAGGTTAGCCATGGAAGGCACTGGGCACAGGCCTGGCAGATAGGAAGCACTTGAATATAATAGCCATTATTGTTTTACCAGCACGTGCGTGGGCATCAGGCAGAGTTCCTGGCTTCGATTTCTCCCCCTTCTGGTTCCGGTTGGTGATGCCTAGGGGGACTCATGGACAGTTGCAAACAGACCTGCATGCTCTTAAGACGCCAGCCTTTGCTGCCGAGGAGCTCTGGACTCTGTAGAACACTTTGAGCATTCTGCTTCAGCTCACGCTCAGTCATTTGAAAAACCGAGGGGACCATAGCCGTGTTTGGAGATTGCCAGTGGCCCGCCAAAGCTCCTGGAGAAGAGCGCTAATGGGTCATAGCTCCGGTTCCCTCCTGCCTGGGGGAGGAAGCCATAGAACACCCTTCTTACTCAGCCTTCCAGGCCCTTGCATTTGCTCTCCTGGGTGTTTGGTTTTATTGAAGCTCAAGTTCCTGTTTCTAGCCAGTCTCATACCAGCTCCAAGCACTGGACTCCAGGTTATTACCAGTGAGTGGCCCAAGCTTTAACACAGCTGTGGGTTTGAGATGGATCGTGTGGTCGTCTCTGCATCAGTATCGTATAGAGACCTCTAGAGGGTATTTGAATCCTTTCTCCAACAGAATGTTACAATGAGAGGCTCTTCCGAGTAGAGTAAATATTCTGTGCTTGCCAACCGGCTGCTTAATTTGGAGATGGAAAATAGGGAGAATGTGACAGGCAGAACACACTTTATCAGAAAGCTCAGGTCCGCCTGCAGGGGTATTGAGCAAGGGACCTGTGTGTCAGGGCACGTCTTCTGGCCCAGAATCTAGGAGAGGGTGGACCGTGCTGGAGTGGGAAGCAGCCAGTCGGCTGGGAAAACCCATCCCTGTCTAATCGTTTTCAGGTTCTGGGTGGGACGGCTTCCCTCCCAGGGAACGTTTGGCAGGGTGGACACATGTCTTTTGTTTGGTGCAGGTGATGAGAATCTGGGTTTCATTTGCAAGTTCTTTTATGAGTGGTAAAAAAGGATGTTGAAGTCTTCCAGTTCAGGTGTTGGAGGAGTGTCAGTGGGTCCTCAGGTCTAGCCTTGAGCTGCCCTGAAAACCCGGGGGAGGGTTGATGAGAGCAGATGTGCGTGCCCACTTGGGATGGGGAAGAAAAGGAGCTCTCCAAGGACTTCATCCTTCTCTGCAGCAGAACCAGATTTCAGAGTGACTCTTAAAGGGAAACCATCCTTTAGACCTTTCTGTCCACACAGAACTGTAGTGATTCCCTTGCCGAGTTGCCAAGACAAATCCCTTTTTAGGGATGGAGTGTTCACCTGTGTTCGCGTTACTGACAGCTGCCCTCCTCCCTGTATTTCCATGGGTCTGGGAGTTTCACTCCTGTGTAGTGTTTTCTGCTGCAAGCCCTAATTTATAGGATGAACACCTCTGTGCCCAGCCAGTCTGGGAGAGAGAGGGCATCTGGAAATTCTACAGTCATTCCTTCTGTCGTGTTTACGGTGTGGCTGGCCATTTATTGAGCACCTGCTACGAGCTTGGTAGGCCTCATGCTAAGGGCTGGACACGCCTTATCTGAAATTCATCCTTGTGTTTCCCAGGTGAGCACATAGAAGTTTTGCTTTATTAAGAAACTTACCCAGCATTAGTTACCTTTGAAAGTGGTAGAACCAGGCTTCTGACTCCAAAGCTGATGATCTTTTTCCTAAGAATGTGGTACTTGTAGTCATACAGAGATGACCAGCTCTGCACATCTTGTGAATTGCACTTGCTGGATTGAACTCTGGGTCCTTTAAGACTGATAGCTGAGTTCTGAAAAGGGGAAAGCCAGGCGAGTGAGGACTGAAGGCCACTGTACACTGTCAAGTCTTTGTGTGTATACTGATGTAAGGTTGATGAAACGCTCCAATGCACCTTAAACTCAATAAATGATATGTGTGTTAATAGAAGTAAGGAAAAAAGGTCTCCCTGGGTAAGTGTGTTCTATTCCTGTGGCCACGAATGCGGTAAACGGACTTAAAGATTATTATTTTCTTTTGGCTGCAGAAA